TGCACCCGAAGGTCAGTCCAAGGTTCCATGATACACTGACTTCTCTTAAGTCAAAAGTGTATTAAGTCTTCAACATTGAAGACTTATCGTCAAGGTTTCAAAAGAGGCTCTAAGTCGAAAGACTATAGAGTTTGAGGGTGATCTTAGTTTCTGAGGGTCTGATGAGGAGGAACTAAGCTTAGATTGCCTAGGTTCAAGCTACCGAATACAAACGAAAAGTACCCTACTTATATACTAAGGGTATGAGTTCGTATGACTTGTGTAGAGTCATACAAGTCGTATCTAGTCTATGAGAGTCGTATGACTCTAAAGGAGTCATATGAGTCTATCTAAGTCATAAAAGAAATCTGACTTGGATGTGTATCTAGAACTGTCCAGTATAGTCTAGATGCATCTTAGGAGTATGTAAGTGTCTGTGTGGTTCGTATAAGGAAAAAGAGTCTGTAACATTACCCCCCATTTAAACTTCAATATCACTGATATTGCCAGATGAGGAAGTGATAGAGTCAAAGTCGCTGACCAGGTCTTTGAGGTTGAAGAGAGGAGATGGGTGGGTCATAGGGGAATATGGATTATAAAGAGGGGACGATGGCGGAGTTGGTGGGAAGAGGGGCAACACTGCTGGTGAGGAAGGTGGCAAAGGGGAGGTTAAATCGACGAACTCAGGTTGCTTCCTGGGGGTGTTCCAATCTTCGTTCCTGAGAATCGGTACTCCAGTCCAATCATAGATTCTCTCCTTCCACATCTGTGTTCCTATCTTCATGTCGTATCCTGTGGGGTTCATCTGTTTCTCCCATTCCCATGCCTTATCGGCCTCTTTCATCCTTTCGCAGTTGGGGGTAGTATGTCCTGGTCCCCACCAGAGACATCCTCCGCACTGGTAGTCACTGCAATTCTTGTGAATCTTGCGAATATGACCAAGTCTCTTGCATTTCGAGCAGCGGGGAGTGGGGCTGCATCGATAAGGATGATAGGCAGTGATGTGAGGGGACGTTGGGAATTTCTTCCCGTAGGCGTGGATTTTGCCGTCGAACTTCTCAAAATACTGTATGATCCCTCGTCCTGCGAAATGACTTGGGATATAGTCAGGGACAGTGGGGAGCTTGGTCGGATGGCGGCGGCGATGGCAGTAGTTACCATATGGTGGAGACTAAGGACATTTTCGTCCTTGTATCCGAGTTTGCCCTCGAGATGTTTCTCGGTGGCAACAGCTTCTAAAATAAGGTGAAGATCAAGGGAGAGGGTGGGGTTGTCCTGACAGGTCTTAATAAGAGTGCAGACATGTTCTTCTTTTTGAACAAGACGTTCAATGAAGAGGGTGGCAGCGAGAAAAGATTCAGAGTTGAAGAGGGAGGTGTACATGTTTAGAGAGGAGGGTTGGTTGTGAAGAAAGCTGGTTGGTCTGACTGTGAGTTTAGACGATTGTCTGAGGATTCTACTGGAGACTCTTTCTCTTCTTATAGTCTTTAAGAATCTTGGAAGCATCCTTCAAATTGCTTTCTGGTTCCCAGGTTTCGTCGGGATATCCTTTCCATTCCACTAGATATAAAAAGTGATATCCTTTGCCTCGTTTCCTGCGATCTCTGATCGAATCTACTTTGTATTCCTCTTCTCCTTCGACAAGGTCAGGAGGGGGTTCAGGGAAGTTCTTTCCGTGAACGTCGGTTTCATGATATGGGGTAAGAAGTTTTCTGTGGAAAACATTATGTATCTTCCATTGGGGTGGAAGTTGAAGTTTGTACGTTACTGGCCCCATGACTTCTTTGATTTTGAAGGGTCCTTTGCATAATGAGTCTATCTTTGGGAACTTGTGACCTCTGTTAAGGTGCCGCCCATCTAGCCATACTAAGTCTCCTTTACCAAATGGAGGAGAGTTCTTTTTAGATCGTCTAATTTGAGCTTGTCTTGCTAGTTCATGTGCGGCTCGAGCATTATCTCTTTCCTTTAGGAGTTCTGATAGTCTCTTTTCGACTGCATGGACATTTGTCTTTGAGAATGCTATTGGGATTCCGGTAGGTTCGCATCCAAACATGAGGTAGAATGGGGTCTGTTTCGTAACAGAATGGGGTCGTCCATTGTATGAGAATTCAGCAATAGAAAGGTTCTTGTCCCATTCTTCTGGAATTCTCTTGCAGAATATTCTGAGGTACAGTTCGAGTTCCCAATTAGCTTGTTCTGTTTCTCCGTCTGTCTCAGGGTGATATGCTGTACTGATTCGTTGTCTGATTCCACAAAGTTTCATTAAACCCTGATAGGTTTTTGAAACGAAAAAGGGATCTCGGTCAGATATGATGTTGTCTGGTATTCCAAATCGTTTGAAGGTATGATCGAAATGAAGTTTGGCGGCTTCTAGGGCGGTTAATTCTTTGTTGGTTGGGATGAAAATTACCCCCTTTGTAAGGCCATGGTCTACCACAACCATTATGTGGTCATAGCCTCGTTTTGTCTTTGGTAATCCTGATATATAAAATCTTGTGATATCATCTGAAAGGGTCATGTTGCTGTGGACTTAATTGGTTGTGTTGGTGGTTGCATAGGATGTGTGTTAATTTTGTTCTGTTGACACGTGGCGCATCCTGCAACATATTCATATACGAAGTGGCGTAATCTTGGCCACCAGTAATGTCTTTGCACCATTTCTAATGTGTTGTCTTATCCGGGGTGTCTGGTCATTGGTGAATCGTGAAACTCTTGTACGATGAGTTTCTGTATTCCGTTACTATCAGGAATGTAGCATCGGTCTTGATAGAAAAGTTTTCCATCTTCTATTTTCCAATCGGAAAGGCTTGATTTAATCGGCGGAATTCCTTTCGTAGAAAGAACATCTGATATGTTCTTTACTAATTCGTCTGAAGCTGTTGTTGACTCAATCATTTTTGCAAGTTCAACATTAATAAGATTAATGAATATCTTGTCTGGGAGTAAGACAAGGTTTTCATTATCGTCGTCATTGTCAGGGACGTGATCTGGTCATCTGGATAGGGCGTCGGATTGGATCATTCTTGATCCAGGAACATGAATGAGTTGAAGATTAAACCTTGATAGGTATAAACTCCATCTGGCTTGTTGGCGGTTCAGTTTCTGTGTTTTTTGGAAGTATGTCAGATTCTTGTGATCTGAAAATACTGTTACAGGGTGTTGACTTTCTTCTAGAAAGTGTCTCCATGTTTCTAGGGCTCGTATGATGCCTAGAAGTTCTCTGTCATATATGTCATAGTTCCTTTCTGTATGAGTAAAACTGTGAGAAATGTAACTGCATGGTTTCAAATCTCTGTTCATATCTCTTTGTCGGAGAACAGCTCCTGTAGCTCATTTGGACGCATCTGATTCAACGTAAAATGGTTTTGTTGAATCAGGGATGAGTAGGACGGGTTTCTCTAGAAACTTCTTCTTTAAGTTATCAAAGGCTGTTTGACATTCTTGTGACCATTCGAAAACTTTTGTTTTCTTAGTAAGTTCGTTCAGGGGTTTAGCAGTTTCTGCGTAGTTGCCAATAAATCTTCGGTAGAAGTTGCCAAATCCTAAAAATGATCTGACACCTTTTACATTCTTCGGGGGAATCCAGTCTTGTATTCCAGCTAACTTTGTCAGGTCCATGGAGATTTCATTTGGTTTTATGATGAAACCCAGGTATTCGACTTCTTTTGTGTTGAAAACGCACTTCTCTGGTTTAAGGAACAAATCCTTTTCTTCTAGTCTGGTTATAACTTTCTCAGTTCATCCATGTTGATGCCTGGGGTCTCTGGAGAATATGAGAATATCGTCGAGATAGATCAAAACCCATCCTTGGGCGATCATATCAGGGAAATAGTCATTCATCATGGCTTGGAATGTTGTGGGTGAATTGGTCAATCCAAAGAACATTACTGTTGGTTTGAATAGTCCTCTTTTAGTGATGAAGGCACCTTTCCATTCATCACCTTGTTTAATTCGGACATTGTTATATCCCCATCGGATATCTAGCTTTGTGAACACTGTGGCTCCTTGACACTAGTGGCTACCACTTTATTTCTATAACCTAGACCCAAGCCTAGAGGGTCATTTCTATAACTTAGACTTAAGCCTAGAGGCCATATCTATAATGCTTAGGATTTTTTGAAAGGCATTTCAAATGTAGGCCTGGGTATTTCATAGTGAATTTTCCATAGATACCCAGCGCATTTTCTGCGAAGTTTCAAATGCAGCCCTGGATATTTCATTGCGATTTTTCAATAGATACCCTTGGTATTTCATTGCGATTTTTCAATAGATACCCTGGGCATTTCATTGCGATTTTTCAAATGTATCCCTGGATATTTCATTGCAAAATTTCAATGGATACCTGGCGCATTTCATTGCGATTTTTCAATAGATACCCTGGGCATTTCATTGTGATTTTTCAAATGTATCCCTGGGTATTTCATTGCGATTTTTCAAATGTATTCCTGGGTATTTCATTGCGATTTTTCAAATGTATTCCTGGGTATTTCATTGCGATTTTTCAATAGATACCCTGGGCATTTCATTGTGATTTTTCAAATGTATCCCTGGATATTTCATTGCAAAATTTCAATGGATACCTGGCGAATTTCATTCTGATTTTTCAATGGATACCCTGGGCATTTCATTGCGATTTTTCAAATGTATCCCTGGGTATTTCATTACGATTTTTCAATAGATACCCTGGGCATTTCATTGCGATTTTTCAAATGTATCCCTGGGTATTTCATTGCGATTTTTCAAATGTATTCCTGGGTATTTCATTGCGATTTTTCAATAGATACCCAGGGCATATCATTGCGATTTTTCAAATGTATCGGATATTTCATTGCAAAATTTCAATGGATACCTGGCACATTTCATTGCGATTTTTCAATAGATACCCTGGGCATTTCATTGCGATTTTTCAAATGTATCCCTGGGTATTTCATTGCAAAATTTCAAATGTAGCCCTGGGCATTTCATTGCGATTTTTCAAATGTATTCCTGGGTATTTCATTGTGATTTTTCAAATGTATCCCTGGATATTTCATTGCAATTTTTCAAATGTATCCCACATGTCAGGGTCCATGCAATGGGCTTCCCTGGATGGTGGTCACATGACCAATTACCAAAAATGGTCAAAAACGAAAGTTGTAGCCCTACACTGTAGCTTCCCGAATCTGTTTGAATTATGTTCTGAAGTGCTCCCATTGTGGATATATGAGGTAAAGGAATTTCAAAAGCATCGCGTTTTTTTTTTTTTTTGTGTTTTTCTCTATGAAAACAAAACCAAATAACATGATTTCAGTAAATTCAGAAAGCTAAAAGAAAGGGCTACAATTATTGTATCGTGGGAAAAATGACCAAAAAAGGAAGGTGCATCCCGTACTATAAGAATCAGATATAGACTACCAAGTTTACTGATAGACTACAAAAAAGGGGGATCTTAGACTACACAGTTTACTGATACACTATAAAAGACTACAAAAGTCGAACTTAGACTACAAAAGCGTGGACTTAGACTACAT